TCTATCTATCTATCTATCTATCTATCTATCTATCTAAAATTTCCCTGTGAACAATAGATTTGAACCTAGTACATTCCTCTCCTGTGCTGACCCTCTACCCTTCCAACCATAATGTCCTATTCCAAGAACTAGTCCTTCCTGGAAACATGCTCAAAATCTGTGAGACAGAGCTTCAAAATCCTTGACTTCAAGGAGCAACCTGGTTTCACCCTATCTAGGACAGACCTGCTTGTTCTCTTGGTAGTCCATGGCATGTTCAATACTCCTCTTCAGCACCACAGCTCAAAGGCATTGATTCTTCTGTCATCCATAATCATTGTCAATCTCAGATGCCTGCTTGTACATGCACATGACCCCTCCCTCCCCCAAAAGCTTTGGTGACCTTGTTGTTGTTGTTTTGTGCCATTGAACTGACTATGATTCATAGAGATCCCATAAATAATAGTTCTGTCTGAACCTTACCTATTCTGAGCTAACCTCACTGTCTCTGACACACCTAAACCTGTTACTATAGTCATTCTTGTCAATCCATCTCGTTCAAGATCTTATTCTGCAAACAAAAAGGTCCGGTGTTTGTGTTGACCATGGCTCCACAAGAGAAAGAGAGAGTCTCCTCTGGTGTGATTTTACTGCCTCTAAAAACCTACTGGAGGGTCAACTATGGGCAGGCTCCAATATGATGGTACATAGCCAACACTCATATGTGTATACATATTAGATCCATCTACCTACCTACTAACCTACCTATCTAATCTATTTGTCATCTACGTATCTTAGTTATGTTGTTCATAGGATCCTTATGGAGTTGTAGTCAACTTTATGGTACCAAGTAACAAAAACAATATGTACATATATGGAGTTCTGGTGGCATAGTAGTCAGAAGCTGTGCTACAATTCCAAAGGCATGTGGTTCAAATCCACCAGCTTCTCTGCAGCTCTGAGTCAGTACACAACAGCATATACCTCTCAATACATACATGTTGTTACATGCAGTTGAGCAACATGTAACTCATAGCAATCATATGTACAGTAGCTCTCAGCCAGTCCTGCCTTATCTTGAGCCAGTTTCATTGTCTCCAGCACACCTGCCCTTATTATGTCAGTTACCGTATCAATCCATCTCATCCTGGCTCTTCCTTTCTTGCACTGTCTCTCCACCCTGCCAGGCATGATATCTTTCTCCAGTATTTTTCCTTTCCTGGCCACATGCACAAAGTATGTGAAACAGAGCTTCAAAGTCTTTGCCTCCAAGGAGCAGCTTGCCTTCACCCTTTCTAGGAGAGACCTGTTTGTTCTTTTGGCAGTCCATGGAATGTTCAACACTCTTCTCTAATACCACAGCTCAAAGGCATTAATTCTGCTATCCTTATTCATTGTCCAGATTTTTTATGTGTAGCAAGTAATTGCAACTACCATGGCCTGGATAGGGCACCTTAGTCTCTAGATTCACAAAATTGC